CGCGTGCGCGTGCGCGTGCAGAATGGGGCCGAAGGGGCGGGGCTCCCGGACCAAATGCCACCGTCTTTGGACGAACCCGACTTCAAGGGGCTGGTTCAAGACTGTGACGTCACGGGAGGGGGTAGGGAGGGAGGCGGGGCGAGTTCTGCAAAGCCTGTGGGAGGCGGGCCGCCGCGGACTCCCTGAAAGTAGGAACCGAGCGACCCAGATTGCTGAATACATGACTGGATCGTGGAGCCACGCCCACTGAGTCATTCTAATTCTCATCCTTACTTTTGCGTTTTCTTCTAGTCCTAGGGTACCACGCTGCAAGGATTCCCAAATACTGTTTTCGAGCGTGTAACCGTGATAGGGTCGTTGCTCCGTGCCCACAGCGAGTCAGTAAGGGAGGATAGCGGGTTGCAGCAAAGAGGTTTAATCGTAAGGTTACCGAACCCACGAGGAGATGGGAGGAAATCTCAAAAATTGGGGGTTTTTTAAGGGTTTTGGAGCGGGCTGGAGTGGAGATTGTTGGCTAGTCGAAGAGTGCAGGATGAAGCCATGGGACTGGGAGATGAAAAGGCCGTGTTCTCATGCGGATCCAGTTCCTCTGATTTTTGCGACTTGGCGCAGAAGCCCCGGACCCCGCGGCTCCGCCCCGCCCCGCCGCCCCAGTGCCCGCGGGCAGGGCTCCCGCGGTGGCCCAGGAACGGGCCTCCGCCTCTCTCCTTCGTCATGTGTGCGGTGGCGACCCCCGGACCCCTGGGACGCTTCACTCCCTGATGGCAGACGACGAGACGCCCCTCAGGTGGAGGAAGCCGCCAGAACCCGGTGTGCGTCCGGCCCCTTGCACCTCCCTCCGGCGAGCACGTGGCGCGAGGAGGGCGGGTGCGCTTCTGTCTTCAAACCGGTCGGCGTCAGCTGTTTCGCTGGAATTCTGGATCTCAAAAACATCTTAATCCGTCTTTAAACAAAAGTAATCCTGTCTGTGGGAACCATAGGGATGCAAATAATGACCCTCATGTCAGCAAACCTCATCTGTAGGAACATTGGGGATGCAGATAGCGGGTGTCTAACGCTACCTGACTTTTAGCAACAAGGAAGTGGGCCAAAGTACAACCTGGTTAATGCTTAATTATAACTATATTTTTTGCCCAGAATCAGGCATGCAATTCCGTCAGTCCTGTAGGGATTATTTCAGTAGGAGCTTTGCAAATCGTAATTGATGCTTTAAATTATTTTTGAAAAGGGTTTAAATTTTTTATTGTAAAAAGGTACAGGGCTGAATGCAACTCAGAAACGTGGGGGAAGCACAAGGAGGAAAACCATCCTTAATAATTAAGGCAGGCCCGGCTCTGTGGCTCAGCTAGTAATCCCATGCCCTTGGGAGGCTGAGGTGAGTGGATTGCCTGAGCCCACGGGTTCGAGACCCGCCTGGGCAACTTGGCGAGACCTCATCTCTACAATAAATCAAAAAAATCAGCCAGGCAGGTAGCACGCTCCCGTGGTTCCAGCTACTTGGAAGGCTGAGGCGGAAGGATCGCCGGAGCCCAGTAGGTCGAGGCTGGCCGGGAGCGGCCACCGCACTCCAGTCTGGGCGACGGAGTGAGACTCCAACTCAAAAAAGAAAATTAATAATAATTAAATCAGTAGGGTGCGGTGGCATTCGCCTGTAGTCCCAGCTACTTGGGAGGCTGAGTGGGAGAAGCACATGAGCCCAGGAGTTCGAGCCTGCAGTGAGCCATGCTCACATCACTGCACTACAGTCTGGGTGACAAATTGAGATCCCATCTCTTAAAAAAAAATTACATCACTATGATCTTGAAGACTAAATCTGACCCTTTACATTATCAAATTCCTAACTAAGTGGACTGGAAAGACAGGTTTTTCATTGTTTCTTGCAACTTCTGTCTTCCTTAATATAACGAAGCTATCAGTCAGCCACAGCGGGCACACATTCTCGGGACCTCCTAGGAACAAGTGCCATGGGCCTAGGGTCACTTACATTTGGCTCAGAATAAACCATCTTAAATATTTTACAGAGTTTGGCATCTTTCATCAACAACCTGATCACAGTTTTAGCTGGATCTTTGATTTTAGCTGGGAGAGTGGAGGTGGTTGGGGACCACACCAGCTGTAGTAAGCCAAGTCTCTTGCAGAAAGGAAAGAATGTCTGTTTCACCCTCCAAGGGTTGGGCACAGACAAAGCAGAGATTTAATCATCCTTTCTTGAAGGCTAAGTAGGTTGGACTGGTAAGTGTGTTCTGGCGTCCACCTTGAAAGCAGGGTTGCATTATCAACTCAGTAAACTCACCAAAATGTATTTATATTCACCCCAAGAGCAAAATCTTTACATTCACCTTACAGCTCTTACCTCCTTCCAATGTGATAGATTAGGCTGCAGTTTTCAAAACTGAAAAACGGAGTGCCAGCATCTATTCTCCATCCCCCCACCCCTCCCCTCCATTCCTTCACCCATGTATTCCCCCACCCTCCCTCACCCCCTCCCCCTGAACCTTGTGGTTTAGAAGAGGGGTCTCTTAACACCATTTACACTTTCAAATGCCTAATGGTTTCACAGCTTCCAATAGCCAATCAGTACTATGGACCACTTTGGGATGAAAATTCAGTCATCCATCAAACCCTAAATTTGCAAGATACTTACTATGGTTTTGTTAGAAATCACAGAGTAAAAAAGAATCTAAAACAGTGTCCCTGTCCTTGATGACTTTTTTATTGTAGGGGAGGCAAAACTATAGCCCTATCTTCTAGGGTCTGCAGCTGCAACCCAAGAAGTAAGTTGACATAACACTGATTAACAGAAGAAAAACATATTCATTTTATTTAATATTTTTGCATGCCCTCAAAGGAAAATCAAGATCCCAAAAGTACCGGGCTCGGTGGCTCAGCATGTAACCTGGAGCCCAGACGGGAGCGGCCACTGCACTCCAGTCTGGGTGACAGAGTGAGACTCCAACTCAAAAAAAAAAAGATCCCAAAAATGATTGGGGCTAATTGCTCATATACTTGGTTGAACAAAGAGTAGTAGTTGTAAGAAAGTATAAACAGGGGTACCATAAAATGTATATGTATTTTTAAGTATGACGTTTGCTCAAAAGACACAGCTAAGTGAACGTCATTTTACACATTGCTACGGTAATTTAACTCCGAAAAGCAATACATAAATAATCTCTTAAAATGTGTATTTTGGTGGGGCACCTCCATATACGGGGAAGCTAAAAGAAGATAAAGGTCAGTCTAACAAGGTTTGTACAGGTTTCTTTCTTTCAATCTTGTCTCGCCATTTCTGGTGATAATGTTCCTTTCCTCCTGGTATAGGGAGGGCATCATTCACATGGAAGTTTTATCACCTGCTTTCAGGAAACAAAGGAGAAGCCAGAATGCTCTTCTTACATCTGCTGTATTTCAAGTGCCTTTAGCTCAAAATAATCTTTATGCCAAAGTGACATGTTTTAAGGCTGGGCACAGTGGTTCATGCCTGTAATTCCAGCACTTTGGGAAGCCAAGGCAGGAGGATTGCTTGAACCCAAGAGTTCAAGACCAGCCTAGGTAACATAGCGAGACTTCATCTCTAAAAAAAAAAAAAAAAATCAAAACATTAACCAGGCATGGTGGTGCACACCTATAGTCCCAGCTACCAAGGAGGCTGAGGTGGGAAGATCGCCTGAGTCCTGGAAGTTGAGGCTGTGATGAGCTGTGATCATGCCACTGCATTCCAGCCTGGGTGACTGAATGAGATCTCGACTCAAAAAAAAAAATGGCATATTTTGGGGTGGCATATTCTGCTATCCTTCATTGTCTAGTAGAAGAAAGAGATGCTGTCATATAAAAAGTACATTTTAAAAGTGTTTCATGTAGTTATATGTGCATATGTTCAAGTTCCTTCTGTCTCCTTCTTTCCTTGAACCAGTGCCTTTTCCTCCAGGAAACCTTTGTGGACCTTCCCTGTCTGGATTATTTGCCCTCCCTCTACTCCTAAAGCAACCTGTCTCAAAGTGCTAATTGCCTATATTCCTCTTGTCTGTTTCCCCCTAGACATCATAGGAGTCACAGTTTTCATCTCTGGCCATCCAGTGCCTATATGTAGCATTTAGACTGTGCCTAGTACCTATATATAATGCTCATAAAATGTTTGAAGTAACGCATGATTAAGATCTAGTAGAGGTAGCATTGATAATTAAAGCAAAGGATAGGTATGACATATGACTTTCAGATGATAAATGTAAAAACAAAAAAGTTTGAAATGAACCAGCAGAATGAGAAGGCTATCATTAATTGAGAGTGTCATCTGGGTCAGGAGAGTGTGTGGGAGGGCATTGGCTTGACTTAACTTGGGGTGGAGGGGTCAGACCTACCTGGAACAAAAGGTGATTATATAAAGAAGGTGGTGCTGGATTAATGAGAATCTTGAAAGGCAGAGAGAGAAGTTTATTGTGAATGTGGGAGTCAGTAGGAAGTCACTGATGTTCTTTGTAGAAGCTGGGGGAGGTACAGTCATGTTTTAGCATGAGTGATAGACACTGGAGTCGAGGATGGAGAAAGACTGAGCAGCATAGGAAAGAATGGTACCATGGAAAGTTATGCATTATCCAAACAGACTCTCCAGGAGACTCCTCTAGGTTACCAGTTCAGATTCTATGGAAGCCCTTTCACAGCTCTGTAAATTGTAGCCAGTTATGCGGTGTACTCAAGGCTTATCTATAGATACACAAGTTCTGTCCTGTCCAGGAGAATGTTCAGTTGACAGCCCTCCAACCCCTGTAGAGAAAGGTTTTGTCTCCATTTGCACATTCATTTCAA